TATTTGACGCGAAGAACGCGTGCGACCACTTGTCCGGATTCAATGTCTGCAACCGGTATCTCGTGGTCCTCTACTACCAGACCAATCGGGTCAGTACTGTCCCCTCCAGAGTGTGGGGTGTCTTAAGTCTTAAGATATTGTGGTTTTTTGGACACTTTTGTGTTGTTTTTTGTGTTGATTTTACGTATTAATTGTATTGTTTTGTGTATTTGTGTGGACAGGCATTCAAACGGTTAGATTCGGATAAGAAGTTAGAAGAGATGGAAGACGTGAAGAAGAAGTATAACGTGACTTAAGAACCGGTGATTATCACTACTACCTGTCCCACACATCGCATCCGCATACCGTTCCCTTTCATTTCATATAGCGTTCATGTCTTAAATGTTTTAAATCATGATTTATAATAAAATATTTGTTAGAAAAATAAATTGTTTACTTATTTAAGCAGTATAAATTATTATGAGTTAATTGTATTATTAATAGATCTTAATTAGATGAACCGGATACTTTAACCCTAAGTACATTTAGTACGGTAGGTACTGTACAGTATCTAAAGACTACACATTACCGTAAATTGAAATTAAAAATATTTGCATATAATTACTGGAAATAATATAAACCTACAAAATACCGGAGCAATAGATTGCTAAATGGGTACCAAAAAGGCTACAAATACAATGAATATCTAATAGTTTGGTTATGAACTTATAATTAAGATTTAAAAAGTCCACTGGTTATTTTCTATTGGTTAATTTGAATTTGGAAATTAAGTTACAAATATAGTTACAAACTATTAGATATGCACTGAATGTGTAGACTTTGTGCAACTCATTTAGCCAGCTATTGGTTTCACAATTTATTTTATTTATAAATTATATTCGGGATCATAATTTACAATATGTTTAAAGAATATCGTTTATTTAGATGTAATTATGTCTATTAATGTGAAAAATATATCTATAAAAATTGTTGCCGGTAATTTTATTACATTTATAAATCAGTAAAATTCATTACCGTATAAAGTAAACTAAAATTTTCAAAGTTAATGCAATACAAGACATGAATTAAATGCACCAAATATTGTCATTACTTAAAATTGAACACTATTTATTTAACATGGTTTATTACATACGATTAGATTGTCATGTAAAATTATTACAATATTAATACAACTGGTTAATTTTAAATTCCTTAATATAAATACAATTTTCAAGTGTTTCAACACTTGCTTGTGAGTAGACTTCACTGCCTCTGAGATAAATGTATTGTATTTTCGGGAGTTTTGCCAACGAATGCAATACACTATCCGTTATCACCAAACGGTTGAGACTTATGTATCGAAGTCGTGGTAAATGTTTGTCTATATCTGTCACAAACTTATTGTCAATTTCATGTGTACTGAGCAGTGGTCGCGAATGAATTAGCGTCAAGTGTGTCAACCGTTTCAATGCATTCAGCGATTCACACATTAATACACAGTTTTCGGGGAGTGTTACGTGAATTTGGAGGCGTTTTAGTTGTTTTAAGTGTGTATTAATTGTATGCAATAATTGCGTCANAAAAGTTTTTATTCAATAAAATTAATGTCTTTCTTTCTCTCTCTCTCTCTCTCTCTCTCTCACCTACCAGTGCGATGTGGTGTTCCTACCGTGCGGTCACGTGTGCACCTGTAGCTCGTGCTCGCTGTTAATAAGCGCCTGTCCCTTATGCCGGGTGGCGGTCGACGATAAGCTGTGTCTGAATCAGAATACCTGACCCCAAGTCCCCATGAATTGTGAATTAATTTACTGCTCAATGAAAACCATTGGTGTTATCGTTGACTATATATCTAATCGATTGAATGGTTTATCACACTTTTTCTATCAATAATTATACCATTGTTTTGCCATTTTATTTGTTGTCCACTATAACGAGTGTACACTATATCTATGATACCATATCTACACTATAATTATATAATATAATGCGAAACAAAGTGTTTTTGCAAACAACTTATACCTAATCAGTATCGATGACTAAATATCTATTGATTTATACTGTATTATGATAACACCCTAAGTAAATAAGTCTATTTGAAAACAAGTTAATAATAATTTTTAAAACTAACATTTAAATTATATATGAATTTTGTTATGACATTAATTATCGAGTTTATTAATTATATTTGAAAAAAGTCTACTATTTTTTGAATAGTCCTAAGGAATATTCTGTGAGATTACGTGTAAAATAATTTTTTAAATAAATTATTTATTCCTATAATACGTTACGTTTTTTACTAAATTATTTAGTTTAATATATTTAGTATAATAATTAACTTTTTAAAACTATTTAATTACCATTAAATAAAATACATTAAAACTGTATTTAAAAGTTTCAATTTAAAGTTTAAATGTTATAATGCTTTATAGGTGGCGGCACTTATGTGTACAGATCGGTATTAATACAGTCTACTAAAGCTATTTAAATAATTACCTTGTATAATTAACAAATAATATACATATATGAATGTGATCTGGCTCAAACAAAACATCATTTAAAGTTTAAATTTTAAACAATAAACAACAGTCAAGTATAATTACCATATTTAATAATCAATTTATTTCTATATTATTATACACAGGCATAAATGTGTTTCCCAAACCTCAAGTAGACTGTATCGGCCATAAACACGGCGAACACCTCTACACCGCTATCTAACAGCCATTGTGTGTGACGTTTGTCTCGCAAAACAACAACACATTTAAATCGCGACCAAAACGGCAACCGCTGTCCACAGCCACTGAACCCCAGCCCACGTGACTCTCACGTGTGTACGACAACCACCACAACAGGAGGCGCCCTATAGTCCACCCCCGGGTCGACACCACAACACCCACACCAACGATGGCTATGAACGCGATGCAGAAGAAGGCAAACGTGAGTACCGTTTCTCTGGTGATGATAATCACCGCACCATTTGTGCCGTACATACAACATACTAACTATACATACCTGCCGTACACCTCCCGTTCCCCTCGACCTGTAGGTGCGTTTGCCGCCCGAAGTGAACCGCATATTATACGTGCGAAACCTTCCCTATAAGATCACCGCCGAAGAGATGTACGACATATTCGGCAAATACGGGGCCATCAGACAGATCCGGCTGTGAGTATAGTCGACCGCCCACTCACTCACCCCCATACCAGTTACGTGCGAAACCTTCCCTATAAGATCACCGCCGAAGAGATGTACGACATATTCGGCAAATACGGGGCCATCAGACAGATCCGGCTGTGAGTATAGTCGACCGCCCACTCACTCACCCCCATACCAGTCCCCCCTCACACCGTGAGTGTGTGTGGGGTTCTGGTGTAAGGGACTTATCTCTCGTGTGAACCCCCGGTTTGTGTGGTTAAGCGCCGGTTGTATACACTATACGAGTGTTTTTGCGGGCGAAAAGCCTTTGGGTTTATTGCACGTGCCGTTGAGACTAATGCTTTAGTATAACGAGTAGTGTATGGCCTTAAACCCCGTTATAGCGAGTACTAGTGGACAGTTACCCGACGTCTAATGCATACACTATCCTGGGGTTCATTATTATAGCAGTTATCGCATTGTTTTTGTGGTTATTTTACTGATATTTGACGACTAATTGGCGTTTTTTATATGTTTTTTTGTGCGAAACAGTGGCAACACTCAGGAGACCAAAGGGACGGCGTTTGTGGTGTTTGAGGACATATTTGACGCGAAGAACGCGTGCGACCACTTGTCCGGATTCAATGTCTGCAACCGGTATCT